TGGACAGCACGAACTCTAAACCAGTGTGTATCAAAGTGGAATTTGACAAATCTGATATTGGTATTTACGCTATTGAAAAGCATCAAGAATCGGTTAAAAAATATGTTAGGCAACAATTCCCACTGAAACTTGCATATGCATGCACAATTCACAAAGTACAAGGTATGTCATTAGACAAAGCTGTTGTCTCGTTGAAAAACATGTTTGAATATGGCCAAGCTTATGTCGGTCTGAGTCGAGTTACATCATTATCTGGACTCGTTGTTCAAGACTTTCATGAAGATCGTATATACTGTAACCCTGAAATAAAAGAAAGCCTTGAAAATATGCATTCATTCATACAACCACCTATAAACGCTGATGCTAGTGATCACAACATTTCTATAATTCTCCACAATGTACAAGGATTAAAACAACATTATAGGGATTTGAAATGCAATACTGACTTCTCCAATGGAGATTTGATATGTCTGACAGAGACATGGCTTAATAACGAAGATGACATAATTGATACACTTTTAGATGATTTTAAATTTTACCATCAGCCGAGATATCTTTCATATTGTGCTACCAATCAACTTAGAGAGCAGTCACATGGGGGTGTTGCAATATACACTAAAATACAATTTTCAAGTAGATTGAACATAGCTGTCGACAACCTAGAATCTATTGCAATTATCATAACAAATCCCGTCTCTTTCGTTATTTCAGTTATATATCGACCTCCATCATACAGCATAAAACAGTTTTGTGAATGCTTACTCAATTATCTCAATGAATTGCACAAAATAAGTACCAGATGCATAGTGATGGGTGACTTCAACGAAGATTTAATGAAACACAATTCGCAGGTAAACCGAATAATGTGTGATAATGGTTACAAACAATATGTTTCAAAACCCACGACAGAGAATGGTACATTGATCGATCATGTTTACAGCAAAGGTCTAGATATATTAGACGCAGACGTGATTCCTATTTATTACAGTTACCACGAAGCTATTAAGATTACATTGTAAATGTAAGTGCAGATATAAGAGCTTTATCTATTGTTTCTATTACTCAGTTTATTGGTCATATAAAAAACAGCCAATGGAAGATTGAAAAAAAGGGGCAGAAGCCTCCCAAAATATCTGGACAAAATCATATAAACATTTGACGTCATAATAATATTCATTGGAACGATATTTACATGTTTATTACCGTTTGCCTGTATATTTATAAAGTTCCTGTCATTCAAAATGTACCCAGTCACCTAGTTTAGTTTCGGGGGAAAAACAAATTAAAGTTTTGGTGCATTTTGTGTTAAAGTTGTTATTCAAACGTAAATCTTGTTATTGTTTTACTGTACATACTTACGCGGTATTAGACAAAAATATGCTGTCAGTTACCAATACTATTTTCTTTACAAAATCTGTATTTTATCGCGGATATATCGTGGATAAAAACTGTTTTGAAATTAGGATTTTTTTTTTTTGGAAAAAAAAAATCCGTACGGCCAGGACCAGACATGTATTGTGTGTCTGGTTCAGAAACGGGTTTTTTTTCCTTCTAATTAGATGGTGACAGCTTTAAATGGCTATTATGCCCGATATAAATTGCCTATTTCGCTTAATTTTGCACCCTGGCTGCTGATGACGAGTGCAGTAATTAACTTATTTACATTTTGTATAGGCCTTTCATAGGCATAACACGCAAATTAATACATTTCTGACATGTTGCCTTTAATCAAAATGTTCGCTATGATGACGTCATCAAAATGAAAAGTGGTGATAAGTGAGCTGGTAGAAAATTGTATTAGCTACAACATATCGAAATTTTGAAGAAAATCGATCAATAATTAGAGAGATACAATCAATTTTCCATAAATATTCTGACGTCATAATATGCAAAATCGTATTTTGAGTTGCTGTGCTTAGTTCATATGCCTATACATACGTGTGCCAAATTTTAAGACATTTGATTCAGCCATTTTCAAAATTATTTTGCACACAGAAAAGTGGGTCGAAATAAGAAAAATAAATGAAAATAGTGTAATAATAAAGTAAAGAGGGGTGTTTATTACATTTGCGATTCTACGTGTTTTAATAATCAAAGGAGATGGTACGGTGAAATTTCAAAAAGAAAACAAAAGGGAAGAAAAAAAATGTTGGAGACGCCGGACTCGAACCAGGGATCTCGAGGTCGGAAGTCAAGTGCGTTACCGATATACCAAAACAATTCCCATAGCGATTACACGTAAACGAAAAATGGAATTCTCAAATCCCACTTTACAAGTGAAATATTAGCATGATCCCGGCATCTGATTGAAAAATAAAGGGCACACTTGTGATAGCTTTTTGTCTCAGCTACAACATACTCAAAGCTCAGCAAAAGCGAAACTAAAATGCTGGAGATATTGCTCGCAAAAGACAGGAATGTAGAATCCAGTTTTGAGAAAAAGACATGTCCCATAGAGAATACACGCAAAATGTGAAAAATTGACATGCCTCCTTTAATCGCAAAAATACGCCCTGATGCCTTTGTCAAAATGAAAAATTGTGAAAACTGTATTTGCGGAAAATTGTTTCAGCTAGAACATATCAAAGTTTGAAAGAAAATCGATCAATATTTACAGAGATACAATCAATTTCCCATAAATATGCTGACGTCATTATATGCAAATTCATATTTTAAGTTCCAAGGCCATTATGACGACGTCATGATATTTATAATGGCCAAATGAGACATGATTTCATATTTTCGACTCATACTCTATCCAAATATTTAAAAAAATTGAGGGTCCCGGTTTATCCAAAAGAGCTATAATGGATTTTGTATAGGCAAGTTTTTGCCCATATATGCTATGTATACAAGAGCTCGCGCGCACAGACATTTATCTTGAATGGACGCTCATCTTAATATTAATGTTCATAAAGAGATGAACATGGTATCAAATTGTTTGAAAAGATATGGGAATTGCCATGGAAAAAAAAATGGCGATTCTATGTTGTGTAATGGTGTTACGCGCGAAAACGCGCGCGCATGCGCATGTGCGCGATTTTTTATAAAATGCTTAAAATGGCCTGAAACGTATGCAAACAAAATTTGAGACGATTTGGAGCATTTAAAAAATTTGCGCGCACACTGACACGCGGACGTACGCGCACGCGCGCGTTTTTTGACCCGAAATTGACCGGACGGATATTGACCTTGATCATGATAAATATGAATGAGAAATGAATTACCGTTATGAAAATATGATCATGAGTAAATTTTCAGAAAATTTCACAAAATGGCGCCTAGATGACGGCATCAGTCAAGGTCAAGGTTGAAAACTTGCTGTGCTTTGTTCATATGCCTATACATACGTGTCTTAAATTTTAAGACATTTGATTCAGCCATTTTCAAATTATCTTGCACACAAAAAAGTGGGTCGAAATAAGAAAAATAAAGAAATAAATAAATAAATTAAATTTGAAAACAAAATAGAGCAAAAATAAGCGAGATACTGCTTGAAAATTCTTAAAAAACACTATCATGTAGATTCATTACGTGAACGAAATTCACCTTCTATAGTCATAACACGCAAATTATGAAATTTCTGACATGAGGCCTTTAATCAAAATTTTCACTCTGATGACGTCATCAAAATGAAAAAGTTTTTTTTTAACTTGTAGAGAATTATCTTAGCTACAACATATTGAAATTTTGAAGAAAATCAATCAATATATACAGAGATACAATCAATTTTCCATAAATATGCTGACGTCATAATATGCAAATTCGTATTTTGAGTTCCAAGGCCTTTAAGATGATGTCACGATACACTTAATGGCCAAATGAGACATGAAATCATATTTCTGACTCATACTCTTTTCAAATATTAAAACAGAATTGGGGTCCAGGTGCATCCCAATGAGCTATAATGGATTGTGTATAGGCATTTTTTTGCCCATGTATGTTATGTATTACAAGAGCTCGCGCGCACTGACATTTATCTTGAATTTAGGCTCATCTTGTTAATAATGGTCATAAAGAGAAAAACATGGTATCAAATTCCTTGAAAAAATATGAGAAATATCATGAAAGAAAAAAAAATGGCGATTCTATGTTTTGTAATGGTGTTACGCGCGAAAACGCGCACGCATGCTCGTACGCGCAATTTTTTATAAAATGCTTAAAATGACCTGATACGTATGCAAAATAAATTTTAGACGATTTTGAGCATTTAAAAATTTTGCGCGCGGACGTACGCGCAGGCGCGCGTTTTTTGACCCGAAATTGACCGGACGGATATTGACCTTGATCATGTTGAAATATGAATGAAAAATGATTTACCGTTATGAAAATATGATCATGAGTAAATTTTCAAAAAAATTCACAAAATGGCGCCTAGATGACGTCATCAGTCAAGGTCAAGGTTTAAAACGTTGTTGTGCTTTGTTCATATGCCTATAAATACGTGTGCTAAATTTAAAGACATTTGCTTGAGCCATTTTTAAATTATCTTGCACACAAAAAAGTGGGTCGAATTAAGAAAAATAAATAAATAAATAAATAAATAAAGGCGATTTTAACAAAAATATAAGGTGGTCTGTATTATATACAGCCCACCTGATAAAGAAAGAAAATTCTGACGAAAACAATAGGTGATCTGTCATTGACAGACCACCTAATAATAGTACTGCTACTACTACTACTACTACTACCACTACTACTAACAATAATTATTTAAATAATTATTATAATAACAATTATAACAATAATAACGATAATAATATAATTAATAATAACAAAATACATAAATAATAATAAAAATATTATTAACAATACTACTACTACTACTACTACTACTAAAACTAAAACTGCTATAGGACTTTTACTTCCACTACTACTTATAATAATAATAATAATAATAATAATAATAATAATAATAATAATAATAACTACAACACCTGTCTGCTCTTCAGCACTTTCACTATCAATACAAATGCCCTAATATAATAAAATATAAAATCCTACATAAACTTTTCCAACTGCATAAAAAAAATAAAAATATCAATTTTCACGAGAAATAAATGAACAATAAAGATTATTATCATAACATCGACATTGAATTTAGTTTCTACTCACCATGTAATGCCGTCTTATGACGATTTCTTTGTGTGATACATTTTAAGCCCCATAGAAATCAAATCCTATTTGATCGAGAGCACAGTCAATGGAAGAACATGTTCATACTTTAAATTAAAACATTCCCCTTAATAAAATGATGAGATCTAAAACGCAGTTCATTATTATGTTTTCCTTATTGAGTCAGAGTGATAATATTAATATCATTTATCCACCATCTGAGGATCCTAAATAAAAGAACCTGATACTTACACATCCCCATATAATCTTTCCGTGCTCATATCTCCCAGCAGGTTGGCCAGCCTTTATACTGATGAATATTGCAGCTATGAAATGTAGCAAACAAGCTGCAGCATTGTTGATCAGCTCCTGGTAGATTTTGAAGAAAAATAGAGTTTTTGTATCATTTAGTGACATTTTATTCATTGGTATTCAATAAATTGATCATAAAGGGCAGACCAAACAACAGAAAACAAGTAAGGATTACAACAAAAATGTAAATCTACCATCACTGATAATTATCGCGGCTATGAAATGAAGCAATCAATCTGCACCATTGTCTATCAGCTCCTGGTGGATTTGAAAAAGTGTTTTCTTATCATTTAGTGATGTAGATGTAGAGGTGTTGTGGTCTAGTGGATAAGTCGTCGGACTGTGGATCACATGGTCTGCGGTTCGAGTCCCGCCACGGCACTAATGTCCTTTGGCAAGAAATTAATCTACATTTGCCACTCTCCACCCAGGTGTTAAATGCGTACCGGTAGGAAGGAATTCCTTGAATGCTGTGAGCGCTGAAATCGCTAGCCTAGCAGAGCGCCTTGAGCACCTTGTATGGTGGATAATGTGCCTATATAAATATTCAATATCATTATTATTATTTTATGCATCAGTATTTATTCCAAACTTATCAAAAGGACTGGCCAAATGGAACAGGTGAGGCCAACAACACAAAATGTGTAAATATATTATCAATTTAAAGCTTATCTGCACTAGTTTATAGGAGGGATTAGAACACTTTTGTAATGTCACTGGACAGGTTATCTCATCAACTCAGCTCTCAATTAACATAAGAAAAAGAGGATCATGGGGGACCAATGGTCACCGATTAGGCATTGTTTTCTATATAGAGGGAGCAAGTAGCTACAAGTAGGACAGTGTGGCTTTAACCCCTTGATTTCTGAATTCTCTCAATCCCATATAGGCTTTGACACAGGAGCCCCCAGTTCCCGGAGTCAACGGGTTACAGAGCAGAGAGCAAAGGATGCTATCATATAACCAGGGACTTGTCTCCCAAGTCCCTGATATAACTTAGCCAAATGAAGCTACTTCACATAGCCAATCAAGAATTACAAAACAAACATGTTAGGAATATCTTGGTCTAGTGTTTTCTCAGTCTCAGCAATGGTGGGGAGGGGGGGGGGTGTAGAAAGAAGTAAAAAAAAAAAAAAAAAAAAAAAAAAAAAAAAAGTATGCTCCTTCAAGCCCTGTTTCATAAAACTTTTCATTAATATAAAGTGTCACATTTTCTATAACAAATCTTCTCTCAGCCAATCAAATGCAACTTGTTATTGATAACAATTTGTATGAAACAGAGCCAATGCACAACGAATCGGGGGCACTGTCAGGGTTCCAAAGTGATTGGCTGAAGTATTTTACTATCATACATTCATCTTTTACTCAGGATGAAATACTTAGCCAAGGGATATTATTGAATTATTAAACTTAAGCTCTTACCTAGAACAGTGGAATATACTCATAAACTGATGTATGTAAATCAATACTGTCAATCAAGAAATATTTTGCAAGAATAATTCTGTCTTCTAATTCCATTTTTATATTCCATTATTTCACACTGTGAACCTTTCACAAACTTTTCTCCATATGTAAAAACAACACAGTCCCTGACCGTAAGAGATAATAATGGCTTCTTACCGTTAGCACCCAGTTGATAATGGTCACCTGTTTGGTCAGCGATAAGAGGAAAAAAATGAAGAGTATGACCGTGATGACCCATGTGGTCACAGAGACAAAGATTACCCAGTTATACCAACCAGTAGAATGATTAACGCACCCGAACCAGTAACTGGACACCACTGTCCAGTACATGAATCCGACAATCTGCAGAAATAAAGGAAACAAAATCTCTCAGTTAATTTTTGTCATTCTTATCAATTCAATATCATTTCACTTTTTGGTATGTATATTTTTCAAAAGGTGTTTTCATATAGTATGTATACCGGTGCGTTGTTTATAGGCACCTTTGAGTGTTCCTTATATACATCTGCCAAACCAACTCAAAACCCGACAAATCCTTGGCTACTGAGGTTAATGTAGTTAATTATTTGGTCTGTTGTCGGTCTGTCAATAGTAGGGACTTTTAGATTTGCATGACAGCAACGTGGATTGCTACGATCGACGTCCTTTTAATGCACTGCCTTGAATGGACGTCGCACGTGTCAGTCCACGCAAATCTAAAAGTCCCTATATGCAGGGGCGTCGCTAGACCTTTTTCAGTGGGGGGGTGTAGAGGCTTACGATTACCGACAAAACTAGCCACCAATTACCGACAGAATTAAATGTCCAATATCGAAAAGTTCAACCCTATAAACCTGGGGCCGAAGGCTAAATTGTTTTTCCTATGGACTATCTCTTGTACTTGCATATGCGCAAAATGGTCATTTTCCGCGACGACATGAATATACGAATTATTTCTTCAATTTAGTCAGCATCATAGCTATATATTTTAATGCAGGCGCGGAGCTAGGATCTTATTTTAGGGAGGGGCGGTAGTGAGCAAGAGAATCACTTAAAAGCGCGCTCATTAAGGGGATGCATATGGAAACGTTGTATCATCCGCTCAATCTGACTTGTGTGCATAGAACAAATAAGCATTTTTCCATGGAAAAGTGAAGTTTTCTTAAATGTGCGTTTCTTTCCAGCATTGGGGCGCCCGGAATTCACTAGGGTAACATTTCATAAATTATAATATAAAAAGACCATATGCAAATTTTCTGTACTTTTGTCGGAAAAAATACATTTATCCAGCACAATGTCGTGTCTTTTTGCGTTGGAGAAGAGCAAATAGCGAGTTTCAATCACACTTTGGCCGCTCTCGCAAGCTCTCACTCGTTTCACTGTGGTCAAGCGACTTTGGGGCAAGCGGTTAATAAAATTAATAATCGTTAGCTTTCTCCTGGTATTAAACTTGTTTTGATTGATTGTATAATTTTGTAGGAATAAAGGAAACAAAAAGGCTCGACCATTAACTTATCAGCGTCTGAATTGACCTTTTGACCTTGAATTCCCTGATGCAAGCGCACTAATGACGTCATCTTCGCTAAATCGGTGTCTTTTTATCGTAAAATGCGACACTTTCACAATGTTTATACATCTTTTTTAATTATTAGTAAGATATAACATATTTTTTCTGATATCACTGAAGTTTTGGGTTTTATTTAATGAGTAATTTTAAAATAAGATCCATTTTACTGTTTTAATTTACTGGATCGTACCATTAAAGTCGCAGGGTAGAAAGATGCATTTTCCAACCGCGCCAAATTTAATTTACGTTCCGACATTCTGTTAAATGGGTTCGTGTTGTTAATAATCCAATGCTTTCTGCTCCACCAAAGGTCCACATGCGGAGTGGTTTATCAACTAAATTATTCAAATGTATGGATGCTTCCTAGCTTCCAAGGTGTTTGTGTTGTTGAAGCATTTCATTCACCTGCTATCATTCTTACTCCAATTGCCAGAACGCAAATTTTATTTTAGTTTTATAGTTTCATCGGAGTCGTTTATCAACTATATGTATTCAAATTTATGAATGCTTCTTCCCCATGTGTTTGTGGTGCTTATGCATTTCATTCACCTGTTATTATTATTTGTACTCCAATTGTTAGAATACAAAATGCATTTTAGTTTTATAGTTTCATGTAGTGAGTAAGTCAATAAAAGAGTATGTTCTCCAACGTGTGTCCCTATTGTACAATGTAATGTGTCCCCTCATTTTGTAATAGTTAATTTACCCATTCACATAATGGAACTACCTGCCCGATGAAGCCAGTGGCCTGTGACCCCTGAGCACTCAACACCGTGTGGGAGTCAGTTTGTGGTCAACTTCTTTTATGAGACACATACAAGCAAACGTTTCCATATGGGGTGATGGGCCTCCCGCGCGAAGCGCGGAAACTTAGACGTTTCCTTAAATTATTAGGAAAAGAAGACGATTAATTGTACCGTTTTCGACTGATAATCCTTGGCTGAATGAAGTTTCCCCGCCCCTCCCGCGCGAAAGCTTTGGCGTTTCATTGAATTATTATTTTTAAAAAAAGACGATTTGCTCTACCGTTCTCGACTGTTTATCCTTTTCTGAATTCAGTTCCCCCCCCCTCCCGTGCAAAGCGCGGAAGCTTTGACGTTTCATTAAATTATGAGAAAAAGCAGACGATTCGGTGTACTGTTCTCGACTCTTAATCCTTATCTGAATGAAGCTTACCCCTCCCGCGCGAAGCGCGGAAGTTTAAACGTTTCATTAAATTATTAGAGAACGAAGACGATTCGTCATACGAAAAAGGCCTATTCATCTGAATTCAGTTTCCCCCTCTTGCGCGAAGCGCGAAAGCGTTGACGTTTCCTCATATCATTAGAGAAAGAACACGATTCGTTGCACCGTTTTCGACTCTTAATAAGGCCTATTCATCTGAATTCAGTTTCCCCCTCTTGCGCGAAGCGCGAAAGCGTTGACGTTTCCTCATATCATTAGAGAAAGAACACGATTCGTTGCACCGTTTTCGACTCTAAATAAGCCCTATTAATTTTGTCTGAATTCAGTTTTCCCTTTTCGCGCGAAGTGCGGAAGCTTTGACGTTTCCTTAAATTATTAGAGAAAGAACACGATTCGTTGTACCGTTTTCGACTCTGAATAAGCCCTATTAATTTTGTCTGGATTCAGTTTACCCCTCTCGCGCCTCGCGCGAATCGTGGAAGCTTTTACGTTTCCTTAAAATATTAGAGAAAGAAGACGATTCGTTGTACCGTTCTCGACGTGTCTAAATAAAGTTTTCCCCTTCCGCGCTAAGCGCGAAATTTTTGGCGTTTCATCACAATATAGAGATAGAAAGACGATTCCTCGTACCGTTTTCTAATCTTATTAAGCCCTATTTATCTGAATTCAGTTTTCCCCTTTTCGCGCGAAGCGCGACAGCTTTGACGTTTCCTCAAATTACAAGAGAAAGAACACGATTCGTCGTTCCGTTCTCGAGTCGTCTAAATGAAGTTTTTCCCCTTCCGCGCAAAGCGCGGAATTTTTGGCGTTTCATCACAATATATAGAAAGGAAGACGATTCCTCGTACCGTTTTCGAATCTTATTAAGCCCTAGCATCTTAATTCAGTTTCCCCCTCTCGCGCGAAGCGCGAAAGCCTTGACGTTTCCTCAAATTATTAGAGAAAGAACACGATTCGTTATACCGTTTTCGACTTTTAATAAGCCCTATTTGTCTGAATTCAGTTTCCCACTTTCGCGCGAAGCGCGGAAGCTTTGACGTTTCCTTAAATTATTAGAGATAGAAGACGATTCGTTGTAACGTTCTCGACTCGTCTAAATGAAGTTTCACCTTCCGCGCGAAGCGCGGAATTTTTGGCCTTCCATCACAGTATAAAGAAAGGAAGACGATTCGTCGTACCGTTGTTGACTCTTAAACCTTGTTTGAATTTAGTTTCCCCGAAAATTTTAAACCTCTGATTTCTTTAGCTGAACTTATAGGAAAGTGAAACTTCGAGAAAATACAAGTATTGTAGTTGTAGTCACTCTCGAAATGGTCACAGCGGATAAGAAGTCACAGTTCGTAGGGAAAAAAACTTGTCGGCCGACCGACAATATACATCTCACCGACTTCAAACTTCTGCATTGATATAGTACACGAGGATCGAGCTAGAATACCGACACAGCTGACCCGACACAGCAACATATTTACCCGTGTCTTTCTTGCTCCCTCGACGACTCCACCCAACAACCCCTTCTCTCTTTTACTCCCACTCCCCCTCCCTCAGACTCTTATCTCCCCTCTCTCTTCTCTCTTTCATCCCCCGTTTATTTTGTTTCCCTTTCACTCTTTTTTCTTCTTTTTCCATTTCTTTCTTTTCCTTTCTTTCCTATCCTCCCTCTTTTTCTTTTTTCTCTTTCTTTCTTCTCTTTTCTTTCCTTTCTTTTCCTTTCTTTCCTTTCTTTTCCTTTCTTTCTTTTCTTTTCCTATTCTTTTTTTTCTTTTCTTTTCCTTTTCTTTTTTTCTTTTCTTTCACTTTTCCTCTCTTTTTTCCCTCTCTTTTTTTTCCCTCTCTTTTTTCCCTCCCTTTTTTTTCCCTCTCTTTTTTCCCTCTTTTTTTCCCTCCCCCTTTTCTCTTTTTCCCGACGGCAGCGCAATTTTACCGACAAAATCCTGACAGGTGGGGGGGGGGGGTGTCGCACCCCCTCACACCCCCCCTTTGGCGACGCCCCTGCCTATATGACTATTCGCACGACGACGCAATTAAGTGCTGACTACGAGGTATTTAAATGAGCTGTGACCGTTTCCGTACTCTGCAATTGGCTATATACCGTCGCGATCTGTTTGCAGTTTTGCAAATCTGAATACATATAGTTTCCGCGCTTACATGACGTCTGAAATGTCGTTCCGTCATTTGCATGCGAGCCTCGCAGTCACAGCTAATAAGCTCTCTGATTGGCTGATCACACCACCCCGACTAGCTCGAATTCTGACGCTAATTCGGCTGAATACCGTCGTAGGTTTGGATGCTACGCGGAACTTTTCGCTCTGAGTGCGACCCCCCCCCCCCCCCCCCCCCCCGCTTAGATTAGTGTTGTAGAAGGCCGCGTCGCCGGTCCGAAAAGTCGCTAACGTTCTTGTTAGTGCGACCGAGGATGGATATGTGTGCACTAGAGATGAAGCTCTTAATGATAATAATAATAATAATAATAATAAAAATAAAAAAATAATGTATTTATATAGCCCATTTTCCAGATATACATGTTCAAATGTGCTTTACAGCATGTTGTTAAAACAAGAGGTGAGTTTTGAGATATTATTTGAAGGTATTGACTGATTGTTGGTTACACAGA